GAAGGAAGGAAGGAAGGAAGGAAGGAAGGAAGGAAGGAAGGAAGGAAGGAAGGAAAAATAGAGATGAGTAATGCCTAGATGGTTAAGACAGGATTTGAGAAAAGTCAGGATCCAGGCAAAGTTAAGATAAGTCCAATTCCTAGACATATTTACACAAAAGGCTACATTAAATGAGAGTGTAAACAGGATTGCAGTGTTAATCTCACCCTAGCTAGATTGCAAAGTTTGTGCTCCTCCCACTGATATTTATTGGACTGAATACCAAGTAGCCCCAGAAGTTAAACCAGCAACAACAAAACCTCTTTTGCTTGTTAGTTCTTAGCCCAGTTCTCAAGGCCCTCCTGCGAATAGTGGTTAACACAGCTACTAAGTTTGTGTTTCTGCTGTATATCAAGTTAGGCTCTTGACTCCTCATTGATAAAATATCAAGATTGGTGGGTCATCTGTCTCTGAATGCATAGGTGTCATCTCCATAAAATCCTCTAGCCATGTTAGTGGAAACCACTTTCCTAAGAACCCTAGTGAAACTTGTAAATTCTAGAAGCACTTCTTCAAGAAACACTTTGAGCTTCATCATCCAGTAATTTCACTAATTCAAGTCAGGACATGAGTAGTCCCAGAAATTGCAGAATGCTCACTTTTTAGCAAACTGTGTTTCCGATTTAAAGCAAATGTTTTATTTTAAAACAGACATAAACGTTCTACCAGAAATATTAGATTAGCGTATATTCTGTTTAGGGCATTAGTTAAGAGGTTGCAAGTCTCCAATTTCACATATAATATGAATATATGAAAAGAAAAGTGTGCATAGGTATAGGTTACTTTCTGACACACTGTTCTGGACATCTCCTCTCCTTCAGAATGTCCCATTGCTCTTCTGGACCACTCCAATCTGGCCATTCTCGGGTGGTCCAGTTTTCCAAAAGTTAATCCTCAAGTCCAGCCCATTTTAGTTTGGAAGATAGTTTCTGCCAAACTGCTGGACCAACCTTGCATTGGCTTAATTGTGTGGTCTGGAAGAAGGACAGGTTTTGTCTAATCTCTATATCTATATCCTAGCACATCAGTACCCAATCTGCCTTAACATTAGTAGTACAAATAACTATCAAGGGTGATGGTTATTTTTATATTGTGAGATATCACTGGCTGAGAAGAGTGATAAAAGATAGGAGCTACTGTGCCATTCGTGTAATGACGGAGGTTTGAATATTCTTAACTTTGGCTGAATTCTGATAATTAAAGAAGCTTTCTAAAGAAAGGAAGAACGATATGGTAAAGCCTCAGTATTTTCCCATTCAATGCACACATACACACATTCACTCCCACGCTTTACTTTTTTTTTTTTTACAATCAAATATATATAAGCATAAGTTCAGCTTTCTAAATATGTTAGTGTACAATTTTGTTTTGCCTTGTATAATTACATTTGAATATTCTTGATTAAGAAAAAATTCAGCAGTTTTTTTAAAAGAACGCTGCATTTACAGTGCATAGCTGTAACCAAAAAAAAAGAAAAGAAAGGAGCATTGTTTTCTCATACACTATGTACATAAAATAAAAATACTCCATTTAACAAGTGTAAATACTTGACTACATTCTCAAATGTAGTAAATCATCTAACTGTACATTCAATTCCCATTCCTCCATGAACGTTACCCTCAACTTTTTTGTAGAGTAACACCATGTTGGTTCATCAAAGGAGAAAGAAAAGAAAAAGAGAAAGAAAGAAAGAAAGAAAGAAAGAAAGAAAGAAAGAAAGAAAGAAAGAAAGAATCCAACACACTGATGGTTAACAAGGAGGGTCTTGAAATTTCCCTATGTTAGATCACTCTGTTTTGAACAACAAATGGAAGTCACAATTAAAACAGCAAACATTGAAAATCCTCTAGATGTTTTTCAGCCTTCCACTTTTTCTCCCCGCCTTCATGACAAAAACACAAGAAGGGACATTGGGTTTTGTGGGATCTGCAGTTCTCTTTGAGATTGTCATCCTATTAAAACAACATGGTGTGAGAAGCTTGCTTTAAGGGGAAAAAATTAAAAAAGCACCAAAACACAGTGTATCTTAGATGCCAGCAGCTAAAGTTTCAATTTGCTTCATTTGGAAAATGCCGTATGTACATATTTTTAAGTTTGTTTTCACTTTATCTCTATGGAACTGCTGCCACTTAGCACTAAGAAGATCCAAACCCACATCCTCATTCACCCTGGAAAAGCAGTACTGAACTTAGGGATACACTAATGATGTCATGAGTCCCAGCTGCCTCTTCATTCCTCTAGCTTGTGTCCATGTAAACCATGTTTTTGTAAGGGAGAGTGCCGAGGAGGAGACATGTGTAAGCATGACTTCTTCACTGTCTATTATTGAACGACATGATGCTTGTGAGGTATTCGGCATCCTTCCGTTCTTCTTGGCCATGATGCACGTTACCTCCGGAAGCTCCGCTGTGCCTCTTTAAGTAAACTATCGAAATCCATGGAGTCATACTTGCTCTTAGTAGAAGCAGGATCAAAATCGTCTGAATGTGAATCTAGAAGAAAATAAATTCTTGAGGCACACTTATGTTCCCTTCTCCTTAACATGACAGTATAGCTCAGTGTTTCTCAAACTTGGCAACTTTAAGATGTGTGGACTTCAATGCCCAGAATTCCCCAGCCAGCATGCTGGGGAATTCTGGGCGTTGAAGTCCACACATCTTAAAGTTGCCAAGCTTGAGAAACACTGGTATAACTTGATGCGTTTTTAGTATATTTCTTTTTACTGAATTTTATAAAAATTCAAATAACAAGAGTTGAAAACCAAATGTATTAATTTTATTCAAAGCTATCTGATATGAAACTACATAATTAAAGGTATGGTAAATAATAAAGAAAAGAAAAAGTCCAAAGGGAAGAAAAACCTTCAAGTAACAACATAAAAAAAGAAAAGAAAAGAAAGAAAAGAAAAGAAAATACACAGAATAATACCGTATTTCTCTGCTTTTCTGACTATAAAAATAATACCATCATAATTATGCATACTGCTATAAAAGTTTTAAGCAACAAATAAACTTTTAAAGAGACTAATATTGTCTAATCTTGCTCTCTGCTTATAAAGAACCTGTTCAAAGGCTGAACGTCATGGCATGATCCCTAACTGGGTTGGAAACTGCTCTGAGATTTATGAACCCTAAATTCTTTTATGGATCAGATCTTTGTAATTAGTTGGCTGTGCCCAACTTTTTTTATACCTGAGGAAATGAGCTAACTACCAATGCAGATTTATCCTGTCTTCATCTGGAAGTCTCAACAAATGTTATTTGTATTGATGTAAACTCCTTTTTATTCTATTGGCCCTTTTTCTGATGTAAGCTCCCATGTTTAGAAATGCAGTTATGCGGACATGGAGAGTTACATCACTAGGCAGAATTAGTGTAATCCCTATATTAAATTACACATTTCAGTGGCAGCTTTCACTGTGGACTACTTTTGAATCCTTTTATTTTACGGCTGTATTGAAAATTCTCTTTTTGCATGCCGCCTCTTACTGGTCAACATTATTTCTATATAAACTCTTTTGAGAGTTCATGATACAACACTCTAATGTCTTCCAAGACGGTCCTATTTCCATTGCTTCTCCAAAAATATTATATAAAATAAAATATATTTTAATTATTTCACAAATTAGTTGTCATTAGGGATTATCTGTTTTGGGTTGATCTAGAATAAGTTACAATGTGTTTCCTCCACGGGCTAGGCCCCTCTTCCTCTTTTGTGTTTAATTTATTTATTCCCCACAACTTGTAAGTTAGAATTCTAACAATTTCCCCTGACGTCAATAGACATTTTCCCATAAAGTAATGGGCCAATCATTTCTAATATAAAAGAAAACATAGTGAAGTTCTGCCATGGAATAGGCTTGAAGAGCCCACTCTTAGTAACGAATAATGTTCAAGAAGCTGTCTGTCAGGGAGCTTATTTTATACCCTAGATGTTCTGAGATACTACAAACATTTCTGACTTCATCAGTGTGGAAGATAAGTCAAATCAAGTCAAGACTTCAATCCATCTTTACTGGTTTTATCAGCCAATGTTGGAACAGATGATTTGCTAACATTTAGGTTTTCGCTAGACTTCTATCTCTGTAGCAGGCAGCTGCCATTCCACAGCTTTACACTATTTATTTTGGCCAGTGAAGTGAATGATCACATATTCACTTTAAACAATGCTAAATTATCATTTAGACTCTGAGAAGGCATCAGCTGCTTAGGGAAAAATACAACCTGGTATTCTTTTCCCACACCACCCAAAACAGAGGCAAAACATAACATACTTCACCCACTGAGAGGTATGGCATTAGGCAGAAATCTTAATTTTAACCCCCCCCCCCCCGCAAAACCAAATTAAATTATTAGGGAGGCTAATAATGGCACCTTTCTTCAGCTCAACTTTGGAAAGAGAACAATATTGGTTTAACTCTAATAGAAAAATGGGTATTTAATAAGATCCTTTGGAATGATGAACAGCTTAGGATCAGCACATATCCAAAATCTTTATTAGGCAAATCTGCTCCACCCCGCCACAGAAAAGGGGCTATTGAATCAGAACCAGCAGGAGATGGGGAAGATAGGTCTTGGTGTCTGTTCACAATTATTCATCATGCCGGCTTTGGCACTTGCAGAACCTAAAACCTAAACTTTTTTTTCCTGCCCTAATGCTCTGCCCATTTCCCCACAGCAGAGCACATCTGTCCGTGTGGCAATAAGGAAGTAGAAAACATCTCACGTATTTTATTACGTTGCAAATTTTATAGGGATATAAGGTCTATTTATATTTTGCCCCTATTAGATACATTCCCAGGGAGATCAGACAAATTTTATCTGAATTATCTTCTCCCGATTTAAAACCTGCTATTACCTGTGTAGTCACTAAATTTTGTGTTGCTGCAATGAATATAAGGCAAAAATGGTTAAAGAAGTAATTGGTTTAAGAAAATCATTTTTATTTATATTCCTAATTTTTACTTTTAACATCACTTTCTGGTCAATATTTCTTAATTGATGTTGCTAGGGGGTATTTACTCAAAATCATAGTTTTTAGTTTTTAAACTTATTATTACTTGGGTAATTAATGCATTAATATGTTATAGAGACATAAATGTAATATTATTATGTGATCTGTCTTTTCTTCTATCAATTTGTTTTACTCTGTCATTGTTCTCTTAAATTTGCTGGTCATTGACCGAATAAAGATGTGTTCTGTTCTGTTCTGTTCTGCTCTGTTCATTTCTGCACTGGCTAAACAGAGGCTGAACTGCAGCCTGAGTGAGCAACAAAGAAAGCTTTAAAGACTTCCCACCAACACATTACTTCATTGACATTCTGATCCCTTCCAAAGGAGCTAACGTTCCATTGCATTAGAAAGGTTAATCTAGTTTAGAAAGTCCATCCGAAACAATCAGATAAGGCATGGGCCATTTTGCGGGAGATCCAATCTTTTTGGCCACATTTTTTTTTCATCTTGTTCCTCGCTAGGGCAAAAGAGGTGCATTTGCACTCTAATTTTGCACTTTTAACAATTTCCCATTTGAAAAACGTCTATGCGTATGTGTGGGGGGATGAGGTTTTTTTTTTTTTTTTTTTTAAGTCCTTATGCAGCCCTTAGCTGGGGAAAAATAACCCTATTCCTGAACTGTGGGTACTTTTTAAATAAGTTTTCTTAGGGGGGTTAGGAGGAGAGCTAACTCAAAAATTAGAAAACCCTTTGGCACACCAAAACTGAGTCTTACATTTAGCTAACAGTAAACATCATACCAAGATCTGCATAGTTAGCCTTGCTACGTTGCCTCTGTCCACAAAAATATAGCTGAAAGGCAGGTTCATTGGATCTGCGTAGAGTATATCCATTTTCTAGTGCAGCAAATGCATCACAAGTATAGCGGTAAGTGATGAATCCATAGCTATCTCTGAAAATAATAACAATAATAACAACAACAACTTCAGTCACAGTGCTGCTGCCGCCGCCAAGGAGTGCCACTGTGCAGGGCAGCCAAAAGGGCAGAAATGCGGGGGGGGGGGGAGATAGGCAAGGGGGGAGAGTTGAAGCGCCCCTGCACTTGTAAGTGTGGATGAGCTGCCAAGCACCCAAATTTGATCACATGACCGAGGAAACTGCAACAGTCATATCTTTGGGGACTGGGTGTTAAGTACCATTCGTTCAGTGCTGCCATAACTTCAAATCGAACGGTTGTTATGTGAGGACTATCTGTAATAAGGTGTTAATGCATACCCAAGTTACAATTCTTTAAAAAGCAAGAATTCCACAGGGGAGCATAGATGCCAACTTCCAAAATCCATTTATTTGTCCTCACAGTAGTCCTGACATACTTATTTATGGAATAGAAAATCTCAACTGTACCTAAATTAATAAATATGAGTCAAGGAGAGAAGTTTCAAAACCATAGCTTGAATATTATTGTATTTTTATGGCCAAATTTCAGAGCTATGGTCTTGTGTATTTTTCTTTTTCCTCATTTGGGTGGGGGAAGCCAAGGAGGAAAGAAAGGCTAATCTTACCCATCATCCTGTAGATTCAGTGTGCACTCCTCAATTTCACCGAAAACTTCAAACCGGTCCCTCAGTTCTGTTCGGGTAGTGCCAGGCCCAATTCTACCAACATAAATGACGCGACGTTCTTCCTGTTTATTAGAAGAAATAGCACAGAATTTCTACATAAATGAGCCCCAAACGGTAGCTATTTAAATGAGTGCATAAAACTGAGATGATTTATAACCTCAATATTTTAGCAGGGTTATTTCAGAGCATTTAATATGAGCAGTAGATCCACCTTCATCTAAAACAGAGCAATGGAGTCCTCCAACAAAGAAAATGCTTAAGTATCTTCCACATATCTTGGCCATAATAAAACTTGGTCAAATTGGAAAAAATGTACCAGTCTCATCTGTCTTAGTAGATAAAAAACAAATTGTGCAGAATTGCCAGAAAATCCAGTGGAAGCCAAGGTTAAATTGATAATCCAGCTTTCATTAAGGAGCTGAGGATCCTCCCACTCCTAACCCAACTTCTCTGCCATTATCCCACCCTGGCTTTTGGGCTGAGACAGAGTGACTGGCCCAAAATCCCCCAGAAGCTTTTGTGGTTGAGGGGGCAGTAACACCCGGGTCACCTTTAAGTTGCTTTAAGTCCAACACAACAGCTGCATCATACTGGCTCACATAAACACACCCACACACTTATACATGAAGAGCACACTTAATTTAATTGATTTAAAAATCAGATAGTTGAGGATTTTACCTTCACTTTAAAAGACTGGACAAGGAGCCTCACTTTACTTTTGACTTGTTTGTTTGCTAAATGACTAAAATATGGCTATTAGTTTGTTGAAATTTGGAATATTTGCACAGTATCTCCATGGCCTGAGTTAATAAATTAGTTTGTTGGAATTTGGAGTATTTGCACAGTATCTCCATGGCCTGAGTCAATAAATTACTTTTATTGCAGATTATAAGTAGCTTTAATGATGAAGCTCAACTTCTACTGAGTCTATAGTTACATACCCTTGCATATATCCTCAAGTTATTTTTCTGCTTTTTTTATCATAATGGACCTCTTGTATTGTGCTTCCCAGGCTGGGCTGATTATGGTACCTAACTGTGTTTTCATAACACTCATGTTTTGTCCCAGATTCCTTGTTTCTCACTTTGCTACCACTAGCTCTTTTATCCCAAAAGATCACTCAAACATACAAACAAATATTCTACAACCCTTAGTTATGAAGTGCCCCACGTTTAGAGTCTAAGATGATGGTCCTTCTATAAGAGATGCCTGTAGTTTTGGAAGTACTGTTTTGACATAGCCAAGCTACTGAGGCAGATATAAGCATAGTCTTTTAGTCTTCTTGTCTTTATTTTCTGTTCTCTGCTTTCTAATGGCCGTACCTTGAAATGGGGGAGGATTCAGCTCATAAATCTGGAAACAATAAAGATTGGCTCCTGTACAGTAAAATATTTCACCCCCCAGAATGTCTTACCAAAACAAAAACTTAACTGTGCTGAACCACTTGGTAAGAAACAATTTGGTTGACACTAGCTATTGAACCTAAATGACTGACCAGATGGAGCTTAACAGCAGACTTTCTAATACACTTCATTTCCAATAAAATATCTAGATTGGAAGGGGGAAAAACCCCATAAAGTTTCACACACCAGCATTGACAATGTAATAGAGCTATGCGATGGCAATAGGCTTATTCCCATATGCTTCTGTGAAATTTGTCATGAGAGTAATTATTTTTGGCTTTTATTTCTCCACCTTCTCCCTCTTATTTAGAGAGGAAAAGACAACTCTGCTTTTAAAAAAGGCTGGGTAAAGTACAATTAAGGGAATAAGAAAAAGAGCTCAAATGTAGAAATTGAAATTTAACACCAAAATGCACCATATGTCCTCCAAGGACAGCAAACACTGAACTAGCTATTTCTTTAAATGGCAAACCATTATGCTTTAGTATTTGGAAGGCATCCTGCATGTTGTGATTCTGGTGCAAGCTTTTTAGCTCTTTGATCTTTCCAGTCCTATTGCAAGGGCTTTCTCTGCAGTCTCTCCTTTCTCAGCACAAGAATTTATCAGACTGAATGCAATGGGATCTCTAAACTGTTGGGTTCATGATATTCTCTGAGTTTGCTTCTCTTCCTGTAGATGTTTCATTACCAGACTAGCTAACACCATCTGAGAGCTTTTCTCAAGTAGCTGACACACATCAGAAATGCAAAAGGGTTCCCCCCCCCCAAGTATTTATTATTTTATATGCATTCTTCCTCAAGGGAATGAAAGAAAGAGGTTGTCCAATGGAATGGAAGATGTATCTAACCCTAGCATTGGTTTACCAACAGGAGCTAACCAAATGCTTTTAGAAATGGTAGAAGAAAGCCACAAGACGTAATGGCAATCTGCTATCTGCTACCACCAGCAACTGGTATTAAGAGGTACGCTAGCTCTCAGTACGGAGGTTCAATTTTCACGTTTATTTTTGTGCCTTCGAATCAGTGAAGTCCCTGCAGTTTTCTTGGCAAGATTGTAGAAGTGGTT